TCAGATTACCAGGGGGACTACTGCACGCAGCCCATCATCACCCCTGCTATCGTGCCCACACAGTGGGCAGTGGGCCCCGAGGAGATCGGGGAGATCATAGCCGGTGTGGTGGGGGTGGCCATCCTGGCCGTGGCCTTTGTGCTCATCCGCAAGCGCTACTGCCACCGGGCCAAGGCACACAAGCCTGTGGCCCGGGAGGACCCTGACCTGCTCTCCAAGAGCGAGTTCTCCAAGAGCGTGGGTGTGGGCACCCAGGCCGTACCACCCATCGAGCTCAACATCCTCAGCGACGCAGCACACAACAACCTAGATCGGGCAACGCCGGAACAGCGCAAACCCACCAGCACCCCTGAATTCGTCACCTTCAACTCAGTCAATGCCCCAAAGCACCGGGGCACCATTGTGTGCAGTGTGGCACCCAACCTGCCCCCCGCTGCACCCCCCTCCAACTCCGACAACGAGTCCTTCATCAAGTGCACCTGGGCCAGGGAGGAGATGGGTCAGTAGCCATAGCTTTTTCCTGCTCTTACACATCCCTTTTACCCCTGTGAAGTGGACTAAAGGTCTGCAGACTTGAGGAACCTACAGCATTGGTTAACGCCAAGCAAAGAAAGAGCAAATACTGCCCAACCCTGCCATAGGTCTTTTACTGACTTTTTCCTTCCTGCTTACCAGTACATCCCCAGTTTTCAGCTTTAACCTGCTCAGTCTTGTACGCAATCAGCAGGGAAACCATTAACGCATAGCCTGGATTCCCATACATACTAGGTCAAAAAAATATAAAAGAGAATAATAAAGCTAGGGGGAAGAAATTAAGAACCTAGAAGTCAGTGCGAGTTTTAGCATCAATGCTCCCAGGCAGAACGACTGTGTCTTTGGCGAAACACCTTGCATGGCTCTGGACAGCAAGATTACTGCTTCCTCTCCATGCAGGAGTTCATCACCGAAGCACACTGTTAGACGAGCGTTCACAAGAGTAACTACAGGGAAAGGGAGAAATCCAGTGGATCACTTGCTCTGCCCTCATCACTTCATCATGCAAGCTTCTTGCATCCCAGTGGCATGATGGATTGTGTCTTTTGGGTGCTAGAGCAGGGGATGCCTGAAGGCTGGTGAGAACACAGCCTTGGTGCAGCCAGGGGTGCCCTTGGGTCCTCTCAATTGCCAAAGCAGCAATTACAGCTCCCCTGTCCCCACGTCTCTTCTCTTCCCTGGTCTGCCACATCTCTTTGCTAGAGCAGGGGATGCCTGAAGGCTGGTGAGAACACAGCCTTGGTGCAGCCAGGGGTGCCCTTGGGTCCTCTCAATTGCCAAAGCAGCAATTACAGCTCCCCTGTCCCCACGTCTCTTCTCTTCCCTGGTCTGCCACATCTCCT